CATAATATTTAATAATTATTAAATATTTGTATTATACATGTATAATACATGTACAGTAGTAAAATTATGCTTGTCAAGGCGTCGCCATATTGGATTTAGAACTCCTAGATTTGTGGACATGTCCAGAAATAGTGAAGCTAATATAAAGTTTAAAGCAAGTTTTTGGTAGAGCGGGAAATTTTTTACAAGAATACCTACGCATTTAAATTTGCTGTTTGTTAGTGGGTTTTGACTTAAATCAAAATTAAATTTGTTTACTTTTATTAAAATCAAAAATGATATTTCTATGCCAAGAAATATCATAAAATAAAATCTTTCGAAAGTTATACCTAGCCAGCATGCAATTTAAAAATTTTTGCTATAAATTAATTTAATAGTTTCTGGTTTTTCCAATATTATATTATATTTATTTTTCCGATAACTTCTTCACTGAACTGGTTCCATAAAAATATCTTCAAACTTGACCTTACATTAGCAAAACGTTGATACAAATAAATAAATAAATAAAGAAAAAAAAAATTCACTATATTTATTAAAAAGATGCCATCAAAATTTTATTACATTTAATGTTTCCTTAAAGCAATATTTACATGAAATGAGCTAGTTATAAATAATTATAATTAATAGTATAATTTAGATTTTAATATATACCTACAATTACCTAATTGTACATATGTTTTAAAGCTTCGTTTTCAAAATACAGTGGTAAAGTTGATAAAAAAAATATGGTTGCTACCGCTTTTTTATGAGTTTGATATTGTTTTAAATTTTAGTTTAAGCAATTAAAAATACAAATTGTATTCTAAAAATTGTTACTATTTCGTTATTTCTTTTAACAATATCGACAGCGCCATCTAGCAAGCACTATTTTAAATACTTAAATAAATTTAAATGATGGTTTTCTATGGAAAATAAAACTTGATTTTAATTGTTTTAAAGCACTGTGTTTTAAACAGAGGTCACTCATTTAAAAAAAATAAACAGATTTTTAAGTTTTATTTTAAAACCATTTTGTTTTTTCTATATAATTTTGTAAATGTAATAAATTTAATTTATATTGCCAGTTAGTCCTTTAGTCTTTTTTTATTATTATCTCGTTTTGTTATAGTTAAGCAATTTATTCAACTTTTTAAAATCGGCTGAAAAAACCAATTTTTTTTACTTCCACCTTTAAAACGCCCTTTATCGTACATATGTTTCCATGGCACTAAGTGTCCTTTTAAATACACATTGACAAGTTGTGGCTTTATGGCGCTTTAGTCACGGGCTGAAGTTAGCAACAGGTTTTTAGTCACGGGCTAAAGTTAGTTTTAAGTTAGTTGACAGTTGTCAAATGTCATACAATCGTTAAAATAAATTGCCTTTCTTGTAAAATAATACTATAGATGAAAATTATTTTATTATTTCAATACAAAAATACAAAAGTATTAAATAGTTTCTCAAGGCCAATATTTGAAAAGTTTATATGAACATTGTACTGACCTTTTAATTTCGCCGGCAGTAAACTATAACTTAAATTCGGGCACGGACTCCACTGTAAAGTGCTCATAAAACATTTTCTTTACTTTCACTGTGAAAAACTGTCAATTTTCAAGAAATACATTTCGATTTATAACTATAATTAATTGTGTTTAAAAAAATGAAAAAATGTGACATTTGACGGTGACACACAGTTTCCCATGTTGTTTTATAGATGGCCCTCTATACTAATTTTTGATTTAAATCATTTTAAGTTAATAATAAGTATTTGTCGTTGAAAAAGTATAGTAGGTAAGCACCTTGTTTATAAACTTTTCTATACACTCATTAATTTAGGCACTCGCTCGCAAGCTCGCTCGTGCCTTAATTAAATTCGCGTATAAAATGGCGTTTATCAAACTTGATACATAATATACTATTAATATACTAAAATTAACAATTAATAACAAAATACCCTTGAAATGTGCATAAAATGGCACATTTTTTAAAAAATCTCACGGCACTTTTTTGCATATCATTTTCAATGTGGGTGGATACTTATACATATGTATACACATATGATGCTGGCAGCTCACCTTTATATTAATTTGAAAGTAAATTTGCTACTAAATCTCAGTCATTCAGTTCAAAGACAAATACCGACTGTGCGTGACAGGACAAAAAATACAGTGTTTTAAAATGAATATATCGGTGAGTCCTTTTGTTATTTTTTGTACTATTTTTTTGAGATTATCTACAAAATATTAGGTCCTGTAAATTTTAATTCTCTTAAAATTACGACCAACTTTGACACTCTGTAGTTTTGTTATTTTTAACCAATTTAAAAAATATTTATATATTACGTTAGATAATTTCATCCACTTTAAAAAAATGTAAACATCTTACTATGCCTATTTTTTCGAGATTATCCACAAAATGTATAGAGTCAATTAAATTTCTTAAAATTATTATTTTTATTATTTTTTGTATTAACTGCCTTTTTTACTTTTTATGTAAACTAACAGTGGTATTTTTAAAAAGCAGGATTTTAAAAAAAACATACAAAATTAATACAAACAGCTTTGGTCCCAAAACAATTTAGATGCAAAATTAAGACCGTTTGAATAAAAATTTGCATTCGAAAATCATTATTTCAGTAATTGATCGTGATATATAATGCAGGTAAAGGTCTGGGTCATTTAAATTAATATTAAATTATTTTTTTTAATCTTTATGCATTTAAATGACATTTATTTACTAGTGAATAACTTATATTATATTGTATTTAAAATAGTAAATTAATACACCATGACCCATTAAAAATAAAAAATATTAGCTCAGCATCTAAAATAGCCAATAATGAAATACTAAAGTAATAAATACATAAATTATTGACTACATTATACCTTGGATAGTGAAAGAAAAATTAGTATCATTATATAACATTTACATTTTTTTTAAATGCTTAAATTATATATTTTTATTTTACAACATAAACAATAATAATTATAGAGTAATAAACGTTTTATAATGTTCGGTTTAACACAAAATATACAGTAGTAGTTTTTCTATGTACAGTAGTATAAAGTACCTGTATTTTCAATGTTGGTTCTAAGGCAACCGATATTACACTTTCATGTAGTTTTTCTATGTACAGTAGTATAAAGTACCTGTATTTTCAATGTTGGTTCTAAGGCAACCGATATTACACTTTCATGTAATAGTGGTTGTCTAGAGGTTTTTTGACGTATTTTACAATTTTAGGTATATTTCTTCATCCTTCTGGGTTTTTTGTTCATGGAAATGTCCTATGGATACAACATCATTCCAGAGCCGAAAGAATTCGAGCCTAAAAGGATTCCAGAAAACGTTTCTGGGGCTAGACGCGCGTTGAATTACGACAAATACTCAACAAAACCTGTGGAATCGAAACACTCGACAGGGCAGAAATTCCCGTTCGGGAACAACTGGGAAAATTTCGGCACACCAGAGATACACTACAATTTTGGTTTTCCAAATGGAAATAATTAGTTTAATATGTAGCTACACCTAGGTGATGAAATTTTTGGAGTATATTACTCTGTTAGCCATAAAATAAAGTAATTTATAGGAATATCCGATTTTTATTAAATAAAAAATATCACCAAAGATTAAGTAGATACAGGACGCCGTATACTTACTATCTCAGAAAGTAGTGGAGTTACAAAAAAATTGTAAAGGACAAATTTTCATGATATGAAAGAATTTTTCTTAATATTACATTTTTATTTATACAGGGTGTATGGTTTTTACTGGGACGATACCAACTTTCTTATTTTTTTTGTAATTTTAGATTCTACAATCTTTTTTATGCATACTACTTACTAATTAATTATTTTTTACAATGTTTTAAAAGTCTAAAACCTATCCTCCGTGACTGTTACTCTTTCTAGGTTAACCTATATGTTTTCAAATATCTGAGGTAGTAAAAGCATACTAAAAATATCAGTTCACTAAGTAAACTAAACACATCCAAAGCAATCGAATCAAATATAATATATTATTAAAACTTAAAAGAAATAATTTTTACAACCATTTATGTAGGTGTTAAAAAAATTGATTCTATCCTCCGTGAATCTGTTTTTTCTTTAAATTTTATGCAACAGATGGCGCTTTAATCATTTTAAGTAAGCAAAAAGTGTTGCTGATTTATAATTCAAAAGTTTAAGTTCATTAATTTGCTATCTAAAAACCTATCCACCGTGAAGTGTTATATCTCAGTAAGTAGATTTTTTTTATAAATATTTTATGTATGTACAATTGTGTTTTTTAAAAATATTAAGGTGTCAAAAGATACAATAACTTATTTCAAAAATACAAAGGGGTGTTTAAAAAAACATACGAAATCCTAACCTCCGTGAAGCTATCTTCCGTGAAGTTCTAATATTCAAAATGTATGATTTCTTAAAATTCTTGCATTAGTGCAGAACCACTTATGTTATGTTATTACTATACCTGGTGGCTTCCCAAAAAACCATTCTGGACTAACAGTGAAACAACTTCAATATATATATATTCACCCATATGTTAATTGAGAAATTATTTATAAGTACTTTTTGAGAAAATTAAAGTTGTAGTATTTTTTTAATATAGTGTTTTTTTTTAATATAGACAACCAAAAGTTATTATCAAGCTACATAAAAAAATGTACAGGGCGTTCTTTATACCATGTACAAATGTTTGCTTTTTAATATACAAATTTTTAGATTTTTTTTCAAAATGTTAAATTTTAAGATACCTAATTATAATATTTCTAAAAAATTAAAAAGTGATTTTTGAGCGTAGACAAAATGTAATTAGGACCTATTCCCAAATTAGATATCGTTAGTAGGTAGGTAGGTACTTAAAAGTTTTATAATATTAATTTTACATTTAACTTTCTCTAATCTCATATTAACAACCCCTAACTTTCTTTTTATTATATAAAAGCTACCAGCCTACATTAATTATATTCAGTAGGCACACTATCAAAGTTCAATAGGGCACTAAAACAGACATCTAAAATGAATCTAATATTTATTTTTATGGTAAGTAGACATCCTATATAAATAAAATGCAGAATTAATAAAAACCGCCGGTCTGTTATTATGCAAATTAAGTAATAACGCAGATTTATAATAATTATTGTTGATTTACATATCTTTTTACAGATTGCAACATTTTCAGCGATTTCCGCGCAATATACCCGCCAAAAGGAACGTGACGACGGCTCCTTCACCATTGGTCAGAATTACAACACGCGCGGCCAACCACACGACTCCATCTACGCGCTGCTCTCAAAAAGTTCAGGCTGGACGGGCGTTTCAAGAATGCTAGAAGAAGAGTTCAACGAAGTTCAGCCCAGACAGTCTTTCCAAGGGACCGCGTTTATCTCCAAGTTACCCTACAGCGAAATTTTAAGGGCCCTGGAAGCATTTATAAGGCTTAAGGGTGAAATCGGCTCAAGACTCAGCGCCCTCTATTTGGACAACAGGGAAATTATCAGGGCGGTTGGTCAAACTTTGATAGGCAAGTTGGGACTTTTACACGGGTTCACCCTTAACGGGATCATTTTGCTGAGGAAGTTGCTCGAATTCGCAGGGCAACTCTTCGGCAATTGGAACGTTAATGTTGATTTATCCAACAACTAATTTAAAAAGTGAAAAAGTAAAAAAACTGAAGCGCCATCTATACGAAGCTTGTCAAACTATGATAAAAACGACGTTTTCTTTATGTATTTACTATTTAAACCGTATTTATTAATGTCTTAGATTCTAGATTAATATAATTATACATAATGCAATGTATAATAACAAACCAGTATGTAAAATAAATGTATATTTTTATTTTTATTGTTTTATTCGGTGTGAAAATCTGCAATCTAAAACACAGATGTCGCTGCCGACATAAACTAACCTCAAAATGTCGTTGTGATGTTTTTCTTGCGTATTTTCGTCCCAAATCGATAAAAAATGGCAAATAGAACGGTAAAAGATGCGAAATCGGTGCACGGGACGAACCCGCAGTATCTCGTGGAAAAAATCATCAGATCCCGCATATACGATTCGAAATACTGGAAAGAGGAGTGTTTTGCTCTTACGGCTGAATTGTTGGTGGATAAAGCGATGGAGTTGAGGTTTATCGGCGGGGTTTACGGCGGCAACATCAAGCCGACGCCGTTCTTGTGCCTGATACTGAAAATGCTGCAAATTCAGCCCGAGAAGGATATCGTAGTGGAGTTCATTAAGAACGAGGAGTTCAAGTATGTGAGGGCTTTGGGTGCCTATTACATGCGTTTGACGGGGTCGTCTTTGGATTGCTACAAGTACTTGGAGCCGTTGTACAACGATAACAGAAAGCTGCGCAGGCAAAACAGGAGTGCTCAGTTCGAATTGGTTCATATGGACGAGTTTATCGATGAGCTACTAAGGGATGAGAGGGTAATTTTTGGTATTTTGAGGTTTTTCTATGGCACGCCGTTTTAACATTTATTAAATAATTTTTTAATTTCCTAACTAAAAAATTTTAGGTTTACATTTATAAATTTATAATATTTTCAACTATCAGGTATTAAAAGATAAAATGTACTAACCAACAGTTCACTTCTGTATAAACAATATTATTTTCTATCAATTTTTGCAAAAATTTCTAACTATCATTTTTTAATAAAAATAGTTTCCCAAGTATAATTTATTTTAGACCAGGGTCAATAATTTTTGAAACCAAAAAAAATAACAGTAGGAAACCCATTGGAAAAGTTGTAGGTAATAAAAGGATCTACAACTTTTGTAATTACAATTTTTTTACATAACCTCAAAATTTATGTGAAAAATTCAAAAAAACCAATTTTTTGGTTTTTTATTTTTATCTTTTTAAAAAAAAAAAAATTTTTCCACGAAATTTGGTGAAAACTTACCTTTTTATGTCCCAAATACACTGTAATTTATTTGATTTGAAATATTTATTATTTCGCCTTATTTTGACTTAATATCAAAAAAGCACCCTAATTTTCAATCGAAAATTCTCGCGTCAAAATATCAGCTTTTTTCAAAAAGTCGGTGTGCTTTTTGTATGTTTGAAATCTCTACTTTCTGATGGTGTAAAAAAAATATACATTACTATGGTAAATGTTCTCAGAAAATGCAAAAAATATTATAATGAATAACGAAAAAAACTCGAATTCTAAAATTATGTAGGTACAATTTCATCAAAAAAATGTGATTGTTGCAATTTTTTTAGTTAAAAAGTTTATTTATTAAATTCTAATAACATTTATGTCAGAAAATCTCATAAAATATAAAAATACATGTAAATCATACTATTGAATTTAGATACTTCATTCTGATTACGTTATTCATTATAATATTTTTTGTATTTTCTGAGAACATTTACCATAGTAATGTATATATTTTTTTACACCATCAGAAAGTAGAGAGTTCATCGAACAAAAAGCACACCGACTTTTTGAAAAAAGCTGATATTTTGACGCGAGAATTTTCGATTGAAAATTAGGGTGCTTTTTTGATATTAAGTCAAAATAAGGCGAAATAATAAATATTTCAAATCAAATAAATTAGAGTGTATTTGGGACATAAAAAGGTAAGTTTTCACCAAAATTCGTGGAAAAAATTTTTTTTTTAAGATAAAAATAAAAAACCAAAAACTTGGTTTTTTAAATTTTTCACATAAATTTTGAGGTTATGTGAAAAAATTGTAAATACAAAAGTTTTAGATCTTTTTATTACCTACAACTTTGACATTTAACATAACTTGTAGTTTTGCCGGAAATCGAGATAAACCATTTTTTACCCTTAAAACCCTCCCCTCCCACTTCCCGAACTCAGATCGCCCGTAATTTATTTTTCCTTTAATTTTTATTATATTCCCCTCCTTTTCCAATGGGTTTCATCCTACTGTTTTTTTTCTCTTTTTACCATTTTTAAAGGCTTCTGCACTGGTCTATTGGGTGGCATTTTGTTAACTTAAATAAATATTTTATAAAATTATTGAGATTAATTTGGTAAAGTTAAATTTTTTAGTATTTAAAAATAGTATCAAGCCATTTAAAATAAAAACACATACAAAACATTTTCTACCAAAACAGTTTAAAAAGTAAAATTTTTGTAAACTCAAAACTATTGATAATCAAAAAATATTTTAAATATAAAATGCAACTGTAAAAGTTTAAAAATATTAATTTAAAAAAAATGGAATTTTAATATTTTATTCTTCAAAATTATTGATTTGAATTTGTAAAGAGCCATTTAAATGATAGTCGATAAATTTTCAATACAAAAATTTGAACATTACATTTAAATGTAAGTTTTAAATTTTAAAGTGGTAATTTTTGCATTAAAAATTTATCGACTATCATTTAAATGACTCTACAAATTTAAACCAATAACTTTTATTTTTAACAATTTTAAATTGATACATTTTTAAGACAAAATTTGTAACTTTACATTTAAATGTAAGTCGATAATTTGTAAATTACAAAGTGTAAACGTAGCTTTAGTAGAAGGCACAGTGTTGCCAAATCGTGCTTGCTCCATAAATATTTGACGCGTATTACAAATTATCGTAATGAAATGTTTCTTTATTACATAAATTTTATAATAGAACAGCAACATTTTAATTTAATTCGACAATTAAAAAACAGACTCTTGTGCCTTCTACTAAAGCTACGTTTACACTTTGTAATTTAAAAATTATCTACTTACATTTAAATGTAAAGTTATACATTTTGTCTTAAAAATATATCACTTTAAAATTGTTAAAAATAAAAAATTTTGGTTTAAATTTGTAAAGAGTCATTTAAATGATAGTCGATAAATTTTTAATCCAAAAATTACTACTTTAAAATTTAAAACTTACATTTAATGTAATGTGAGAATTTTTTATTAAAAATTTATCAACTATCATTTAAATGACTCTTTAAAAATTTAAAGCAATAATTTTGTAGAATAAAATATTACAACCAAAACTTTTAAAAATGAATATTTTTAAACATACATTTTTACTGTTGCATTTTATATTTAAAATATTTTTTGAGTTTAAAAAAATTTAACTTAATAAATTTCTGTTAAAACATAATTTAATAACGGAGCCATATTTTTCATACTTATAGCTGTATTATTTTAGGTTTGCGATGTTATTCTGCCGAGAGTCCAAAAACGCCATCTATTGGAAGAAAACAATGAATTGGAAGCCAAAGTTTCAGCTTTGGAGGATGACTTTGATGATGAAGTTGAACTGGAGGACGAATCAAAATACCAAGTTGAATTGGAGGTGACTAAAGAGAAGGAGAAGAAGGAGAGGAAAAGGGATAGAAGCAGGTCGAGGGAGAGGCATAGGAGTAGGGATAGGCACAAGAAGGAGAAAGAAAGGGAGAGAGGGGATAGAGGGGAAAGAGAAAGGGACAAAGATAGGGAGAGAGATAAGGAAAGGGAGAGGGAAAGCAGGAGGGATAGGGATAAGGACAAGGATAGAAGGGATAAGGATAAAGGTAGGGATGGAGAAAGAGATAGAGACAGAAGGGACAAAAGGAGGGATGACGACAGAAAAAGGAGATGATTTTTAGATTAAGCATCAAGTTTTAATCCAATAAATGATAATTTAAACTATTGACAGTATTTTTTTTCTTTCATTGAAAAAGTTGGGTAAAAAAGTCAACATTTTTTTATTTAAGATAACTTTGCATTACACATTTGATTATGTTGGTATTGTATGTTAATATACTGGTATTTTTAATATTTAAAGTTGGCACTCCTGTTCAAGTTAAACACTTTGACATGTGTCATTTAACTGTCAGAATGTATATTAAACTAAGTTAATTTGACTTTTCGGCCGAAATATTTTATCAAAGGTAAAGTTATTGCATTTTTTAACAACTTTTAGTGATGATTTACGTGAAAATTGTTAACATTTTCAAACAGCATTTAGGATTATTAAAATTAAATTACCTTAATTTTATTTTTCACTGTCACTGTCAGTGTTTTGGTTTTTTAGGTTCAGGAGTAATTTTCATTTTTTTGTGTGGGACAAATAGATCTACCTTTTCTTTTTGTTATTTTTTTTTACAAGGTTTATGGTGATATACCTTTTTTAAATAAGTTATAATTATTTTAACATTATTATTTAATTAGAGATATTTGAATGAATATGTAATAATCACCATCCACACAACAAACCCCGTTTTATCTTGTTTCGCGCATACTAAAAATCACTGCAACACTGCACAGAATCTAACGGCGGCCATTTTTATGTCTTTACAGATTAAAACTCGTTTTAAACGTTGTGTTTCTTACAGAGACACTTGTAAGCCTCAAATGAGGCCTTTAAGCGCTAAGAACAACCATTTTAAACCTTATTCTATCAGGGCTGTCTTCAAACTATCAAATTTAAATTTGTGGATTATGGTAAATTTACCTTAAAATTGAAATTTGTAAGAAACACAATTGTGTTAACGTTTAAAACGATTATCAATCTGTATTAGGGCCACCAATATTCCCTAAAAAAAGAATGTCTCAAGTTAAAACTAACCTAAAACACTGACAATGTCAATATAATTAGGGTCATTTTACACTACGATTTTATATAGAATTTCCAATATTAAGCTGCACATTATAGTTCTCCCACCTCTAATCATTCTGCTAAAACACTACTTTAAAATGCAGTTGTAGGCGTTTTGCTATAGGAAGGAAAATGGAAAAACTAAAATATAATAAAAAGACACCTATTTAATACTTAATATATTTTTACAACAATTATTATGATTTGTGATTATCACAGTTCAATATAGAAACAAATGTAAATAATTTACTATATACACATTAAAAGACCTAAAGAAAAAGTATTAAAAGGTGGGCGCATTTAGATGAAACAATTTATCCTCCCTATTCTTGATCCAGTTCAGTAGTTTCCCTACTAAATTTATGGCGCCGGTTGTATCGATTAGAGGTTCGAAAACCACATACAACTCGAACCCTTTGGTGTCCCAAGCTAGGACTACCTCTTTGGAGCTCTTTTCGAAAACCAGCTTCAACGGCCTAGAGCTGCAATGTAAGTGCTGGTGAGCTCTTTTGTACAGCTCCAAAAGTCTCTCTTTTTCCAGTGTGTACGGTGGGGCCAAGCTGGGTTGGTAAAATTGCGCCGTAGATTTGCATTTGTACAGATAATGCCTTAACTCGGTGAACCCAGCCGTCAAACAAGTTTCCTCGTTTGTCGTCAGCGAGTTATTAATGGCCTCCAAGCAGTTAGTCCTGCGTAATTTTTCCACGATGGCCTGTTTGGCCTGACTGAGCACGTAGAAGACATCCCGTTCCACCGTGAGCAACAGTAAGCAAGCTTGGCAGTCCTCAGATAAGTAAGAAACGTGGCAGTACAGGAAACCGCTGGAATCGAAACGAGGCAAACACAGTGGCGTCCAGTTTTCAGAGTTTTTAAGACTCTCCGACGCTTGTACCAGGTTGAAAATCAAATGCAGGTCGGCGGGGTGTAAACAGTACTTCTTCATCCTTACCAGAGTGATTAGTTTGTTGTTTGCCAACAGTATAGCGAACACAAGGTTCTAAAAATATAAATTTAAAAAGGTGGGACAAAATCGCACAGTAACTCAAAATGAAAAAATTGCGGAAAAAATCGCACTGTAGCAAAAATATAAAAAATTGCGGACAAAATTTTAAAAATTCTCAAAATTACGAAATTTTCAAGTTGATTGAAATCGCTTGAAAACGTCAAGCTATAAAATACTGGAAATTAATGAGTGTTTCAAGTAAAAATTACAATTAACTGTGGGTAGGACAAATTCACAGTGGGATAAATTAAAGAAAAATAGGACAAATTCGCACAGTAACTCAAAATGAAAAAATTGTGGAAAAAATCGCACTGTAGCAAAAATATAAAAAATTGCGGACAAAATTTTAAAAATTCTAAAAATTACGAAATTTTCAAGTTGATTGAAATCGCTTGAAAACGTCAAGCTATAAAAGACTGGAAATTAATGATTGTTTCAAGTAAAAATTACAATTAACTGTGGGTAGGACAAATTCACAGTGGGATAAATTAAAGAAAAATAGGACAAATTCGCACAGTAACTCAAAATGAAAAAATTTGTGGAAAAAATCGCACTGTGGCAAAAATATTAAAAATTGCGGACAAAATTTTAAAAATTCTAAAAATTACGAAATTTTCAAGTTGATTGAAATCGCTTGAAAACGTCAAGCTATAAAAGACTGGAAATTAATGAGTGTTTCAAGTAAAAATTACAATTAACTGTGGGTAGGACAAATTCACAGTGGGATAAATTAAAGAAAAATAGGACAAATTCGCACAGTAACTCAAAATGAAAAAATTGTGGAAAAAATCGGACTGTGGCAAAAATATTAAAAATTGCGGACAAAATTTTAAAAATTCTAAAAATTACGAAATTTTCAAGTTGATTGAAATCGCTTGAAAACGTCAAGCTATAAAAGACTGGAAATTAATGAGTGTTTCAAGTAAAAATTACAATTAACTGTGGGTAGGACAAATTCACAGTGGGATAAATTAAAGAAAAATAGGACAAATTCGCACAGTAACTCAAAATGAAAAAATTGTGGAAAAAATCGCACTGTAGCAAAAATATAAAAAATTGCGGACAAAATTTTAAAAATTCTAAAAATTGCGAAATTTTTAAGTCGATTGAAATCGCTTGAAAACGTCAAGCTATAAAAGACTGGAAATTAATTAGTGTTTCAAGTAAAAATTACAATTAACTGTGGGTAGGACAAATTCACAGTGGGATAAATTAAAGAAAAATAGGACAAATTCGCACAGTAACTCAAAATGAAAAAATTGTGGAAAAAATCGCACTGTAGCAAAAATATAAAAAATTGCGGACAAAATTTTAAAAATTCTCAAAATTACGAAATTTTTAAGTCGATTGAAATCGCTTGAAAACGTCAAGCTATAAAAGACTTGAAGTTAATATTTAAGTACAAATTACAATTAACTGTGGGTAGGACAAATTCACAGTGGGATAAATTTAAAAAAGGTAGGACAAATTCGCACAGTAACTCAAAATTAAAAAATTGCGGAAAAAATCGCAAAGTGGCAAAAATTTAAAAATTCTCAAAATTGCAAAATTTTCAAAACATTAAAACATCATCAACAAAAAAATGCAAATCTTACCTTAATTTTATTGCAAGCCCCTGTTATGGCAGAACTTATGGTATTTCTCACTGAAGAGGCCAAAGGAAGGCATTGTACAGCCCCCAGCAGAAAAGAGGGCTCTTTTTCTGTAAAATCCAACAAGTGATCGATCAACCTCTCCGCCCCTGTTAATTGCCTGCGCAAATCATAATTCTGCCTTTGTTCGTAGATTTTATTTAGTCTTGTTAGTGTTAAAGTACTCGTTATTTGATTAAATACATAGCTAAAAAAAAATGTACATTAGGAAGTGTGTTGTATATACATATTTAAATTTACTTACTTTAGTTGTGATATAAGTTGATTCTCACTCTCGTGTGTTTTGGATACTGTGACTAATATTAGGGGTTTTTTGACTAAAAATACAAACGTGGTGTCCCCAGCGTGAATGCTCTTTATACAGTCATCGTTTGTGGATTGCACAAAACTAACCAACGTTTGCATTACACCAAACAGCCATGCTAACTTATCCTCGTTACCATACCTAAGCAACAAAAAATATAATGAATGAATGAAAATTATGTCACACAACAATACCTTGAATAAATAGGTTTTCCAGCCATACTAAGAACAAAAACTTGTTTTTTCCTTGATGTCCATTCACTATTCTGCACATAATCGTCCTCATCATCATCGCATTCACTAAAATTACCGGTTTCCTCCAAATTTTCGCTGACCACTGTTTCTATCGTCGATTCCTCAGCTGCTTGTTTAATTTCAATTAAATTCTTGATTTCTTCCAAGCTCGAATTCATATGCTCAAAGTTTTCACACGAGTCCGCTGTAACGAGAACGCTTTCAGGCGCTGCCCCAGGTTCCACTTCCACCGTTGAAGACATCTCTATCGTTTATATTAATTTACATTTTTTTAATTGTGATATTTACGGCCATAACCTCCCTTTTCTCAAATGTCAATTTTGAAGTTAACCAACTTCACACTGTTGCGACTTCACGCTGTTGTAATCTGGGTTGCATAAGCAACGGCGCAAATTTAAAATTATAAATTTAAAAAAACTATTTTGTGTATAAGTAAAATGTATTTATGTAAAAAAATACAAATTTTTAGGGGAAAGAACTTATAATACAGCCTTTATAAGTGGTAGGGTCGCCGGAAGCCATCGTAATTTTCGGGAATCTGCATTTTGGTAGAGATTTTTTAGGTAATGCTTTCCAGGGTATATGTTGTGTGGGGGTTTGGTCAAAAGTAAGCTCGTTGAGCTTATTTGTAATTAATGAGGCTGAGACTGCTTTTTGCAATGTGTGGGGGTAATTTTTCGGCACTCCTAAAAGCAAAATTTTATCTTAAGTCATGTTCATAGCCTTAAGGCTATATACTTCTTTAGCGTATAGGTATGGATTACCTGGAATATGCTCTGCTAAATTGAGTGAAGCTTTCGATTTCTTATTCTTTCTTTCGCGCTGGAATCTCTTTATGAAAGTTCTGGTTAAATCGGTAATTTTTTTGCCATCCAAGCACTCAAGCTGATAGCAATTTGCTATGATGGTCTCCCTGTATCTGTGTTGTTTGGAAATTGGATTTCCAGTTAATATGGCTGTTTTAAGGTGAGGCCAATATCGGATTATCTCGCATATATCCGATATGGAATCCAGGTCGTTGTGGCTTACGTCAATCCATGTTAAATTGGTTAGTGGTGCCAAGTATTTGAATGTGGTTACTTTGTTATTTGAAACGTTTAGGACTTTCAGAGATTTCTACAACAATTGAAATAATAAATACCTTCCTACGTAAAATGATTATGAAAAATACTGACTGCTAAATGGTAGATTGTTCTGGGGTCAAAACAAAAACAATCTCCAGGACTTAGTTGCTGTTTTTCGATATGCAACTCTTCTAAACACTTTAAATCATCCAGGCCCTCCAAAACTTTAATTTTGTTGTATCCTATGTACAATCTTTTCAGGTTTTTAAGATGACGTAGGTTTTCCAATTTTTCTATGTAGTTTCTTTGCAAATATAGACTCGTTAGGTTCGGTATTTTTTCCAAATTTTCCAAATATTTTATCCTGTTGTTGTATATGTACAACGTTTCCAAATGTATTGACTCTATTTTTTTCTGTAAATTAAATTTACGTGGGTCTGCAAATTTTTTCATTTTATTGTATTGATACTCACAATACTTGTCAAAGCGGTTTCTTGTAGATGCAGATGGGTGAGTTTCTTGGGTTTTGCATACTTTTTCTGTTCTTTTCCCAATGTTATTAATTTTTTAGGTTCCATTTAAATTAGGTATAAAAATCAGTCATATTATTGTCAAAAATGATGTTTGCATCATGGTTTCCATGATGAATTGTTTGATCGATAAATATGGTTAGAGAAATGATCCTTGAGGCATACTAGACGAGGTAAAAAAAATAAAACTCATGAATTAAAAGCGATTTATTTATTTATTAACACACAAATTAAACTACCTGTACAAATGAAGGTTTCATATACATAGTTACAAACAATGTGAATTTTACACTGGACCGATAAGTAGGTACCTACTTTATTGCGAATTAAAGATGGGGCCCAAGGACAGAGCTGACAGAATGCGTACAAACACTGCGTTGAGATTGCTGATTAGTGTTTCATTTATTTATTTATTTATAATTATATTTATTTATTATTCACTAAATCTATATGATATGATAACAGTGCGTTTTGTGCGTTCGTATTTTCACATTAGATACAAAGTTTTATAGATCATAAATTAAATTGTTTTTCATGGGGTGTTTTATAAAATTTGAGATCTTAAATTTCATATAAAATGATACAAACTACGTTAATTTTATAAACCCCAAAAATTAAATATTGTTAAATTGTTTTCTACCGTATCAAAAACATTTTTCAGAATTTTTTTAAATTTTTTACCCAACCAGAAAAATTAGTGTTTTTTAAATTTCTTAAATATTTTTCAAAATTGACCAGGGGAAAGTATTTTTTAAAATTTATGTTTTTAAATTTACCTTTCAGAAAAATATATCAAAAAAATTATTCAATCTTCAACCTTTTTTTAAATTTTCGTATAAAAACAAAAATTTACGGTAATTGTCATTTTTAATTTTTTTATATTAGAAACTTTGACATTTTCTGAAAATTCTCTTGGGGTTTTTTCGTTTTCTATTTCTGGAATTTTTATGAATGTAGAGAGAAGTTTAAAAAAAATTGAAATTAAAAGTGGTAATCAAAAAATTTCAATGTTTTTCCAAAAAGAAATAAAAAAATAGAAGAATCTTCTAAATATTTTTTTTAAAATACATTTTAAAACAAAAAATTGCTCAATGATAACATTTTTATTTCTTTTTATTTTTTTTAATTAAAAACATTGACATTTCCTGAAAATTATTTAAAATTTTCAGTGGCGTTTTTTCGTTTTCTATTTCTGGGGATTTTTATGAATGTAGAGAGAACATCAAAGTTTGAAGCAAAATTTAAATTTAAAGTGATAATTATAGAAAAAAATTCAATTTTTTTCGAAAAAGTAATAAAAAAATAGAAGAATCATCTAAATATTGTTTTTATATATATTTTTTTAAAACTACATATAAAAACAAAAATTGTTCAATGATATCATTTTTATTTCTTTTTATTAAAAATATTGACATTTTCTGCAAATTCTTCGAAATGTTTTTTCTCGTTAAAATTTTTTGTTGTTGGGATTTTTGAGGATGTAGAAAGAACCCCAAAGTCTGAAAAAATGTAGTTTTCAAAAAAATATTTAAAACAAATTATTCAGTAATATTTTTTATTCTTTTTTTTACTTTTTCGAAAAACAGAATTTTTTTCGATGATTTTATTTTTTTTAAAGTTAATTTTTTAACTCCACATTCTCAAACATAAGCTGGGTTAATTAATAAATTGAAAAACAAATTGAAAACGAAAAAACTTCACTGAACATTTTAGAGAATTTGCAAAAAATGCCAGTTTCAAAAACATGAAAAATTTTCGTTTTTTCCGAAAATTAAAAAAAAACTTTACTCATTGCTTGAATTTTAAGCCAGCACACCTGCGTAATTTTTTTTAAGAAACAATTGTATACTTTTTAAAAAAGTTACGGGGTTTTTATAAATTAATCCCGGCGCCTCCACCATTTTTACAAAAATCAACATTTTTGAAAATTTGGGCATACAGATCTTACTTTTTTATTCTTCTGAAGATACTCCCAAAGTTTCAGATTTTTTACTTAATTATAACCTGAACCCCGACTACTAAAAAAACAGAAAAAATCAGAAAAAGGTAAGAAAAAATCATATTTCATTGAACAGTTTAGAGAATTTGCAAAAAATGTCAGTTTCAAATAAAAAACACTGAACATTTTTTGATTTTTTCCGAAAAGTACATTTAAAAACAAAAATTTTGATAAAACTTTAATTTTTAAAAAAGTAATAGGTATTTGAAAAATAAAGTACCATTATTTGTTAAATAAATTGTTTTTTTAGTTGGGAGAAAAAATTTAAAAACATTCTAAAAATATATTTTTAAATTAAATTTCTAAGGAGCGTCTATAGTTTACATCTGGAAACATTGTGTCAGTTGTGCTAAAAGTGAAGTGTTAGCAACGAATAATTTGTGGTGGTGTAAAACTTGTTTTTAGTGTGAAGATACTTCCGATAGTTCTGTAACCTCTCTCCCGTGCTTATAAGTAATACAAATAGAAACTAAAACCTGGAAAATACAAAAGCTTTAATTCTTAATCTTATTCTTCTATCTACAGTCCTAACACAAATCCTTAGAGGTCCGCTGTATGGTCCTGATTTCACTTTTTAGACCTCCTGTAGCGGACGTTACACACAAACTATTTTGTTTATAAGACTCGCCTAAAGACGCGGAGTCGAGGAAAGTAAGCCCGTGTACTTCAGAAAAATAGATTATTCCGTAATGGGGTAGTTAAATTTTTTCTGACCTATACTTTTTATGGTTTTATTCAAGGCGTTTTGTAATATTAAACATTTCTGTGAAATCAGAATTTCAATTGAGTTTACCGTTTTCGAGATATTTACAAAAAATATAAATTTTTATGACGTCACAAACCTCGCCATGTGACCAACATTCTAAGATTTCTATTGGTTGAAAATTACCCTGTTGTCAAGTTGTCCTGTTAATGATTTCATTCGGTTATGTCAGAAAATACCCGAAGAGGTTATGTACAAATACTGTCACTGTCAGTTGAGTGAAAGATGGTCACCAAATTCATTAAGTACCTATCTTCCTTATTACGAGGTATCATAGAACTGTTTGATATTTTAGAGTCCAAGATATATCTAAAAGAATATAAAGAACTTGGCATTATACTAATGAAATGCATTTACGACAAAATATGATTATAATTATAGGTACTTACTTTATTTGTTTAAAAACTCCAATGTTCAATGTAACCAACCATTCCACAAGATTCCTCTGCTTTGAAGTCCGTTATTAATAAATCACTTATCTAATATCAATTACAAATAACATTGATTTTCAATAATCTAAATTTAAAAAAAACATAACCCGAAAAAAAGAAACGTCAAAAAATGAATTCTTCTTCTTCTTCTCAACTAAAATTATAGATCAAGTGGTTTTAAAACTAAAATATTATAACGTGGCGCCATCTATCGTAAGAATCTTAAACTAAACACACCGGCAACCATAGAAAAAGTTGGCAACGTTGTCAATAGCCTAGTGACGTAATTAGGAGATTTTTTTTTGTAAATATCTCGAAAACGGTAACCTCAATTGAAATTCCGATTTCACGGAAATGTTTAAAATTACAAAACGCCTCGAATAAAACCATAAAAAGTATAGGTCGGAAAAAATTTAACTACCCCATTTACTCGTCTGAATTTGATTTGGTCAAGGCACCTTAGTCGCGCTGCGCGTCTTTTGGGTGTTCTCGTAATAGCTCAAAGTAGTCAGCCTTATGTTTAATCTCTGAATCACACATTCAAATATATAAATGTCAGATAGGGTAGCAGTTAGCTTCAAGTATTGACTTTTTTTCGTGAGTTGGATGGATCGACTCAAACTTCACACTCGGCCACGTTGTGGCTGATCTCTGAGCGGTCTATCAGCTGCAAGTGGTAGTCGGTGTTAATGACCAAATCGGCCACGCAACCTTTAATCCCATTCCGATACCTCGTCAATGGCAAAGAAGACTCCGGCATCCCCCCCACAAAAAGCCCCCCCTCGTCTGAAGGCCAGTCGGCCTTGTCGTTGATCTCCACCGATTGGCGGGTTATGGCGGGCCCGTGATCGACTATCAGAAGACCCGAAGACCCGTCCCTGCAAACGGCGGAATGAACTGAAATCGCCCCTTCACCAAATACGAAGAACTGTTAACCCTTTTGCGGCCGGGTGGTTTCATGTAGATTAGGGTGATTCATTTCCGCAAAGTTTTTGTTTTTCTTCGGTGCTCAAGCAAAATATTAATCTGCATATAGGAAAAAACATTCTCACCAAGTTTGAGCTCTTACTATTTAAATTTAACGTTTCACCGTTTAAAATGCATGTAAAAAATATATATATTTTTTCAAATTTCCAATGCTTACCCACCTTTGACAATATTGCAAATCGGTTTAATACACCTTATGGGGAATTTCACGCTCTTTAAAATTGCTTTTGAGTTTTTTTTTGTAACTCGCATTGGTTCACCAGTAGGAGTCGTCAAAAGACAGTTTTTGAAAAAAATCGTTTTTTTTATTTTTTTCGAGCAAATCGGCAAAAGTAGTGAGAAAAAAGGGCTGATTCATAAAAAAAAGTTATCCAACCAATATTTAATGAATTTACTGCCATTTTTATAACTGAAAACGTAAGAAATTGATAAATACCAACCCATAATGTTATTTAATTTGATTTTTTCTATTTATTATCATTATAATTCCCTACACTAAGAACTTTTTTAAAATTATTATGATTTCTCACTCATAATGAATATGAAAACAACACATAAATTCATAAAAAAACAACAAAACTTTAATATACAGAAGGTTATGTAACATATTACAAATTTCGCTTCAAAAAATTAAATAATCTTCATTTATATTTTTTTGCTATATGACAGAAATGTTGAAAAATTGCAAAATCCACGTTACAATTTTCTTATTGTTTTTTAATGAATTTATCTGTTGTTTTCATATTCATTATAAGTGAGAAATCAATAATTTTAAAAAACTTCTTAGTGTAGGGAAATATAATGATAATAAATAGAAAAAATCAATCTAAATAACATTATGAGTTGGTAATTTCTTACGTTTTCAGTTATAAAAATGGCTGTAAATTCATTAAATATTGGTTGGATAATTTTTTTTATGATCCAGCCCTTTTTTCTCCCTACTTTTTGCGGTTTGTTGGAAAAAATTAAAAAAAAAAAACAATTTTTTTCAAAAACTGTCCTTTGACGACTCCTACTGGTGAACCAATGCGAGTTACAAAAAAAACTCAAAAGCAATTTTAAAGAGCGTGAAATTCCCCATAAGGTGTATTAAACCGATTTGCAATATTGTCAAAGGTGGGTAAGCATTAGAAATTTGAAAAAATATATATATTATTTACATGCATTTTAAACGGTAAAACTTTAAATTTAAATAGTAACTACTTAAAATTTACATTAAGAGCTCAAACTTGTTGAGATTTTTTTTTTCTATATGCAGATTAATATTTTGCTTGAGCACCGAAGAAAACAAAAACTTTGCGGAAATGAATCACCCTACATTGTGGATACCTCCTTTTTATCGAGTATCCACCCCCACCCGGTATCTTATAAAAGTAACTAGATACTTTTCAGAAGTAACTTTTCCAGCTCTGGATGTACTATGCTCCACACCTCAAAGTCCCACCACGTGACCACGTACGGAACGCAGTCTTTTGAAAATTTGGCATCTAAGGCTTTTCAGGTTATGTATCTGTCAAAGTATAGTCAACGAAACAAATAATATTTATAGTGTTACCGCTTATGTTTAAGCGTTAAAAGTTAATAAATCCTTATAGAATCACAATAACAAAGGTTGGTTTAAGAATTTAGGTATATAAATACTGCATTTAATTAAATTCCAAAGTGTAAGGTGCAATATAAGTTAAATTTTTGTGCATTGGGTCTACATTTCTCCATAACATAGTTTTAACTAAACATCATTTATTTAAAAAAATTTACTTCTCTGTTATGAAATAAGAATATCTGTATCAAAGGTAGGTTAAAGTATAAGAACAAAAATTATCATCTAATTTTGTATTTTAAGGTTAGAAAAATCTATTTTGACCAAAATAAATAAGTGGATTATTTGGAAGAGTGTGTTAATATGGTCATAAATAAATAAATAATTGTTGAATATAGTTCAAATTAAATTGAAGCTTTTATACTTCTAACGACAAAACTTGTGCATACCTCCCGGCATACTTACTTTAAGTTAGATTATAAGAAAACAAACAATTTTTAGAGAAACTTGCAATGTGAAAATATTTAATACTCCCATGACATGTGATTTATTAAAATTTTTAAAGTTATAAGATTTTTTGATGTAGATCAAATTCAGTCGAAGCTTTTTAACTATTTGTATTGACAACACTTTAAGCTGGATAAGAAAAACTACCACATTTTTAAATACCATATTATACAGTCTTTTAAATAATCCAAAATACTTATTTATTTTGGTCAAAATAAATTTTTCCAACCTTAAAATTACAAAATTAAATGATATTTTTGTTATAATATATTAACCTACCTTTAATACAGATATTCTTATTCCATAAAAGAGAAGCTACATTTTTTTCAATAAATGCTGTATAGTTAAAATTATTTTCTGGAGAAAACCAGATATTTGGACCAAATGCACAAAAATATTACTTATTTGGCACCATACACTTTAGAATTTCATTAAATGCAGTATTTATATTCTTAAATTCTTAAACCATCCATTGTTATTGTAATGTTATAAAGATTTATACATTTTTAACGCCTAAACATAATTACGTACGTGGTCACGTGGTGGGACTTTGAGGTGTGGAGCATAGTACCCTTGCTAGAGCTTCTGACATTGAATTGAATGCCAGCGATTATGAATTAGAGGATGAAGAAAAAATTGCAGAAAAAGAGGAAGAGGTTGTTAAAGATGAGGAAGATGACAACGGAAACGATTATAAATCAGATGATAAAGGACAAAAATGGAGAAGAGAAAAAGGTTATTGAGGATGAAGAAAAGAAGACAATGGAAACATTTTAGACAGTGGACATTCCTTAATTACCTTGATAAAAAAAAATTCTTGAATAAGTAAATCCTTCCGCAAAGGGTTAACAGCGTTCTCAAAAATGTCATCTTACCTGACCGCCTTAACTCTATGCCACAATCCATCGTTAACCGTAGTGGCATTGTAAACCACCTTGATCTCTTCGTTGCTTTCGTGGCCGTTGTATCTCAAGACCAGCGCCCCTTTCTCCAGCCCCAGTGAGAAGTGGCTACCGCTGGAGGCCCACAACAAAAGCCCGGACTCAGAAGCAGATTTGAACCGTACGTTTACATCCAGAGGATCGGATGAAATGGCATCCATTGTGACCCCATCGTCGAGGTGCAAATAGCTGTTGGATCCGCGGAAAGCCGGTGGCCCCCGAGCGCATAAATGGTCCTTGTACCCGGGTTTACATCTAACAATAAAATAGAATCTCTTGGTGGAAAGTCTCCTCATGGAATGTCAAAGGTCAGAATAAATGTCAAGTCAACTTTGTGTACCTAAACGAATATTATAAATATTCCCCAACATGTTATACCTAAATGTTTACACAAGAAACCAACATTTTTGAAAATTTTGGCATACAGATCTTACTTTTTTACTCTTCTGAAGATACTCCCAAAGTTTAAGATTTTTTACTTAATTATAACCTGAACCCCGACCACTTAAAAAAAACAGTAAAAGGTAAGAAAAAAACATATTTTTTTTCAAACGAGTTTTTTTCTTATTTTTTTGACTCTTTTGAAGGTACTTCCAAATAATTATTATTATTACTCCCGAAGTTGCAGATTTTTAAATTAATAAATGTTAACTAATTGCGTTTAACGAAAATTGAGAAGATTTGAGTCGTTTCGCAATTGTATACTTTTTAAAAAAGTTCCGAGGTTTTTATAAATTAATCCCGGCGCATCTGCCATTTTTGCAAAAGACACATTTTTGAAAATTTTGGCATGCAGATCTTACTTACTGAAGATGCCAACATCGTTGGCGAAAAGCACTTTGTATTTTGTTTTGATGTTGGGGAATATGTCCAATATTTGTTTAACTTATCACCAAAGTTGTCGTCCTTTTTCAAAGGTGTCTTACCTGCAAGTGAAGTAGTCCAACTGGGGAACGCACTCCCCATCCTCCCCGCAAGGTCTAGCGACGCAAGGATGGGGACAGTTGTCGACGTTGGCCCCGCCTAGAGCCTCCGCCAGAATGGCGATCTGCCTGCCGTTGATTTGCACCTTCTGAACGCACCCGACCATGGCGGTTCTGATTCGCACCTGGGGAGAGACGATGCCGAAATTCGGCGCGCCTCCCAGGTAGAGATTTTGCGGCAGCGAGAGCTGCGTAAACGCTCCAGGCGATAGAACCTCCACGGGGATGTCGTTATCCACCGCGAGGATGGCCAGTCTTCCAGTCCTCGATACTCGAACCTGCACGAAAGTAGAATGAAAAATTTGCGGCGCTGTTACAGCAGGCTTAAGACTTTCTTAGAACACCTCCATAAAGCTAAGTGTTCTTAAACGAAAATGCATTTTAATGAGACAAACTCCTCTTGAGAAGCTAGCACACAGGAGGATAATAAAGGAGATTATAGTATTAGCTGTAAAAGAAACTTTCTATTAAAGTAATATGGTTCTAAAAGCCAAAAGTCCTTGGGAGGTAACAAAACAACATACCTGATGCCATTCGCCCAGAGTCACTCTATAGCGACTTCTAGCAACCGCAGATCCCGACCCTAGGTCGTAGGAGAACTCCACAAAGGCGTCGTTAAGGTATAGCCCCATGAAGTCGCCCATGCCGTCCAGCTTGTGCCCGTTGTAGAGCACCAAGCCATCTGGGGCGGTAGGCTTGAAGACGATCTCCACGTCAAGCCACGTGAGAGCCGCATCGGATAAGCCTCTGTACCTTAGGTGGCTTGATCCGTTGAAGGAGGGTACTTGGAGGTCGACGCGGGTTTCACATAGGTCGCCCGAGAAGCCCAATGGGCACAGGCAGACGGCGGAAGAGCCGCTTGTCAGGCATTTGCCTCCATGTTGACAGGGGACCCTGCTGCAGCGATCCGCAGTGCATTCCTCTGTAATTTGAACCAGATGAAGCTTGTGTCTCTAAGAGTTCTCCAAATATGTCAAAGATATTCCGAAACCTGGCCGTCCGAGTATTAGTGAAGATTACGTCTTATGCATGGAGAAAGAAAAGTACCATCCATACAAAATCGAGTCGAAATCCGAGGCAAATAACCACGTGAGTGATAAATAATGACTTTATTAATGCCGAGGTGCATATTAAATTTTATAAGGAAATCACGTTTAATAAAACTGTAGCGAGTTCAGCTCTGGATCTCGGAATGATGACTCATCGCCGGTGAGTCATCACCGATGAGTGGGCACTGAATATATAAGGAACGACGCATCATGGAGAGTCAGTCAAGCTTTGGTACTCGCGACGAAATAAATAAATATACGTGCAAATAAATAGAGTCTTGTACAGTTACTGTGATATATAAATAATTAGTAGTTAAGTGTTTAGTTCGTTTTACAGTTTCTTAGTGTTTTAAGTGTAATTGAGTTATAAAAATAAATAGTTTAGTTCGTTAATAAACCAGTGCGTGTTTTAATGGGGTAGTTAAATTTTTCCTGACCTATACTTTTTATGGTTTTATTCAAGGCGTTTTGTAATTTTAAACATTTCTGTGAAATCGGAATTTCAATTGAGTTTACCGTTTTCGAGATATTTACAAAAAAAAATCTCCTAATTACGTCACTAGGCTATTGACAACGTTGCCAGCTTTTTCTACGGTTGCCAGTGTGTTTAGTTTAAGATTCTTACGATAGATGGCGCCACGTTATAATATTTTAGTTTTAAAACCACTTGATCTATAATTTTAGTTGAGAAGAAGAAGAAGAATTGATTTTTTGACGTTTCTTTTTTTCGGGTTATGTTTTTTTTTTTTAATTTAGATTATTGAAAATCAATGTTATTGTTATGTTATTTGTAATTGATATTAGATAAGTGATTTATTAATAACGGACTCCAAAGCAGAGGAATCTTGTGGAATGGTTGGTTACATTGAACATTGGAGCTTTTAAACAAATAAAGTAAGTACCTATAATTATATTATATTTTGTCGTAAATGCATTTCATTAGTATAATGCCTAGTTCTTTATATTCTTTTAGATATATCTTGGACTCTAAAATATCAAACAGTAATATGATACCTCGTAATAAGGAAGATAGGTACTTAATGAATTTGGTGACCATCTTTCACTCAACTGACAGTGACAGTATTTGTACATAACCTCTTCGGGTATTTTCTGACATAACCGAATGAAATCATTAACAAGACAACTTGACAACAGGGTAATTTTCAACCAATAGAAATCTTAGAATGTTGGTCACATGGCGAGGTATGTGACGTCATAAAAATTTATATTTTTTGTAAATATCTTGAAAACGGTAAACTCAATTGAAATTCTGATTTCACAGAAATGTTTAATATTACAAAACGCCTTGAATAAAACCATAAAAAGTATAGGTCAGAAAAAATTTAACTACCCCATTCACACTACGAACAGCAAAACGTTACAATACTAATAATTAATATTGATGAATAAATCAAATGTCACTTGATGATCAAATCAATGTCATTTGAATGTAAGTGTCTACGTATACTGTTTATTGCGACGGTTATTATATATTTGCCCGCCGCGGCGATTTTTTAATCTAATTAATATAATTAACTTATTATTTTTATTACACAACATTTTTTAAAGGGTCCAATCGAACTCCGTGACGGTTCTTTGTTTAAATAATATTTATTTGCTGCTGAGGAGCAGTAGACACATCTTAAAATGTATACTGGGTTGCATACAATACTGCCGATTGTTGACTACTTTACTGCCGATTTCGGATAAAAATATTTTTTTAATGAATTTATTCCATACTTATGCCGGTCACTGTACAATAAATACAGGCACTTCTCCGAGAGACATGAGGGCAATTGAGAAAAGTGGAGTTAAAACGCACACGCAGTGTGTAGCAGGGTAAAAAGTTCTTTATACCACGCTCTGGGGGATATGATTTCGATTCGTAGAAAAGGTTTAGTGGATATGCCGAACGAACGGGCAATTTATATCGAGCTAATGTAGCGTCGTATTAGTAGAGCCGCTTACATCCTCCGCAATATTAAACTAGCTATTCTTCGCTATAGCTCGCATTTCTTGTGACATACGTTAAAAAAGTTAATCCTGTGGCTGTACGTTCTTAGCAGGATTTATTTAAATTTTTTGTACATTACAAAGGGTCCTACTTTTTAACGAGTGATTGAATTTCAAGTGGAAATTCAAACATCATACTAAAAATACCACGTTGCTATGATAAGGGTTTGTTTGTATCGTAAACCAAAAAATATTTTTTCTACTTCCACCTTTAAAACGCCCTTTATCCTTCATGTTTCCATGACACTAAGTGACCTTTTAAATACACATTGACAAGTTGTGGCTTTACGGCGCTTTAGTCACGGGCTGAAGTTAGCAACAGGTTTTTAGTCACGGGCTAAAGTTAGCTTTAAGTTAGTTGACAGTTGTCAAATGTCATACAATCGTTAAAATAAAGTGCCTTTCTTGTAAAATAATACTAAATGTGAAAATTATTTTATTATCTCCATACAAAAATACAAAAGTATTAAATAGTTTCTCAACGCCAATATTTGAAAAGATTATATGAACATTGTACTGATCTTTTAATGGGCAGTAAACTATAACTTAAATTCGGGCACGGACTCTACTGTAAAGTCATCATAAAACATTTCCTTTACTTTCTCTGTGAAAAACAGTCAATTTTCAAAATACATTTCAATTTATAACCTTTATAATTGTGTTTATAAAATGTAAAAATGTGACATTTGACAGTTTCCCCTGTTGTTTCATAGATGGCGCTCTATACAAATTTTTGATTTAAATCATTTTAAGATAATAATAAGTATTTGTCGTAGAAAAAGTATAGTTGCACCTCGTTTATAAACTTTTCTATACACTCATTAAGTTAAGCACTCGCTCGCAAGCTCGCTCGTGCCTAAATTAAATTCGTGTATAAAATGGCGTTTATCAAACTTGATACATAATATACTATTAGTTTAAAGGTAACATCCGGTATTTTTTTACATAATCCAATATTTAACTAAGATAGAGATATTTAACTATTTTTAAAATTTTAAATATTATTCTGTATCAAGAAACCTGTGACGGGTGAGTTGACGGTATCTATAGTTACCATTGTTCAAAATTTAATCGCGTCAATTTTTCATTAATTAACCCGAAAACTATTCACTAATTTTACTCAGAATTTGATATAGAATTTAAAAATGTGTTCTATTTGAAATAACTAAGTTGAAGTCACTTCCGGTTAAACCGGAAGTGAAATTTTGTTCAAAATATTAAAAAAAAGAATATAAAGGCTTTTAAAATTTTAAATCGATATATTTTTCCGTTCCCCAGAAACTTCTAATGTACCACGAATATGAAACACCCGTATACAAAAGTGTCACTAGTTGCCTTTTCTATGTAACTTCGGAAACTAGACAGCTTTTGCGGTTGACTTTAAAGCCGATTAAAAGTCTAGCCGTAATATATCACACTAGAGTCGTGTAGTTCGTGGAAGGCTTTAAAGTTTCATAAAATAAGGTCATTTATAAGTTTAGTTTTACCACTTTTTCACTGGATATGCGATTACACCGCAAACCCATATGAATTACGGCCGGATTATGCGGTCGGGGTAATTTTAATGGTCATGAATGGAGTGTAAAATGGCTTGGGTAATGAGATAAAGTAATTATTTGGAGAAAATTATATTATATGCTTTAAAACGAATATTTTTTAGTATTTTGTTGATGCAGACCTTCGATTTAAGGTAGCCCCATGCTCATCTGCCAATCCCACCTCTCAGGATAGCATGTGTCCAAAAAAGTTTGGACAGGACGCTTATAATGGGGAGGTACCCCGTACTGTTTAAACCAAATGGTATCATCTGGTAGATCTCATTGGGAAACATTTCTGCTAATGTGAATTTTCTCTGCTCCAGTACCTACAATTTTGACGGTTGACTGTATCATTCAAACAGAAGGTAGGTTCGTCCGAAAAAAGTTCTTTACGAGGAAAATGTGGTTTATTTAAGTTCATCATAGTCTCACAAAATTGTAGGATCATCTTCGCAAAGTTCCTGCACTAGTCTAATTTTGTATGGATATATCCATACTTCTTTCTTCATAAGACGTAATACTGAGCGTTGGCTGACTTTCAGTTGCTACTAGGCTAGAAGCTAGAAGAGGATCTTCTTCACACGTAACAAAATGTCAATTTTATTGTCTTCACTAATACTAGTACGGCCAAATTTTGGAGTATCTTTGACTCTTATTATTATTATTATCCCATGAGAATAAATTCTCTGTGTTTCCGTTAAATGAATCTGAAAATTTGAGGTTCAAAAAAAAAACTTACCAATTCCATATCCTTTAGTGGCCTCTCCTTTAGGATCCAACGCGAACTTGTACGGATGATCGTTAACCTCCAAATGCCTTATGCATCCTTTTAGTCCTTTCGCGACGGGCAACTTTTCGGCCAGCCCTGTAGTGTTACCGGGACCTCCTATGAACAAAGGCTCTCTGAAAGTTATTCTCGAAAACAACCCTTTGCTTCTGCCTTGCACGTGTTTGCCCGTGTTCAGCTGAAGCCAAGCGTCCCATCGGTGCCTGTACAAAGTAACGTGGTTCCATTGGTTCAGTAGCACCGTTTCTTCAGAACGCACCACTCCAACTCCGGAACCGCAGTCAAATCTGAAAGGAAAGAATATTTCGTTTAAAAAACCATTTGGTTATTTTAATGTTTTTATTTACCTATCGGTAATTTATAACTCTTTGGTTTTGGTTTAAATTCGGTTAATGTAACACGTTATAGTTCATAATGAAACCAATAGATGCTTACCAAATTAATTAAAGGTGAGGGGACTGTTTTAAGATTTGTACGAGTAGATAAATAATGATCTACAACTTTGTCAACTCTTCTATAGTAAGTTGAAGGTCTACATTTTTTTTAAATTATTTCTTTTAGGCTTCATTATAACACAAAACTCACAACCTATAGGTTTATATATAAAGCTTAGGGTGGCCCAAAAAAAAAAGAATATTTTTTTTTCTCGTCTCTTGTAAAAATATGTTGGTTTGTCATGTTTTAAGAGCCCTGTCAAAAAAACAGCTCCATTAAAATTTTTTTAGGGGTCGTTCAAAATTTTAAAAAATTTTCAAAATCGTCAAAAATTGAATTTGAATTGAATTTTAATTTTTTTTCTCGTTCCGATATTATTTTTTAATTTAAAAATAATAATGATTCTGAAATTTTCAAATCGATATTTTAATTTCTAAAGGTCGCTCAAGATTTTTTTAACTTTCAAAGTAGAGTATTTTGAATGTTTTCGAGCGACCTCTGAATATAAATATCAACGAACTTTTAGCCATCTTCAATATTCAATATTTTGATTTGAAATTTACAGAATTTTTATTATTTTCAACCAAAAAAATAATATCGAGACGAGAAAAAAAATTAAAATAAAACTAAAATTCAATTTTTGACGATTTTGAAAATTTTTAAAAATCTTGAGCGACCCCTAAAAAATTTTTAATCGAGCCGATATTTTGACAGGGCTCTTACAGCATGATAAACTAACATATTTTTACAAGAAACGAAAAAAAAAATATTATTTTTTTTGGGGCACCCTAATAAAGCTGTATTGAGACAACATAATTTTTCTGTGCAGGTAACAATGAAAACTGCAAAACCATCACTTTTTTAACCAGTTTATTAATGAACGTTATTTACCAGCGAGTTAAATTTATTTGGTAAAATATAACTTGTTGGTTAAAAAAATATATCCAAATTAACCAAAGCTGTGGTTAATTAACCAAAAATTAATATCAAAAGTTAAACTAAACCAAAATATGTCTAAAAAAATAACTAAACAAATATTTAACTAGTTAGTAATATTACCAATGGGTTTCTTTTATTAGTTACATTATAATACTAAATAGCCTTTACTTTAAATTTACCTTAAGGTTATAAAAATGTTTGTAAAATTCAGATTATAAAATAACGCAATAAAAATTGACGTAAAAAAGCTTTCAACGAAAAATATTAAAATCCCGTCGCGTCGCGTCGTAATGGTTATTTTATCATCCAAGTTTTGAATGTTTGCACATTTAATTTAAAACCGCAACAAATATAGTTTTGTGCCGAATTTATTCATAAATTTTATATAACATGGACTATTCGGTAAAATTAATTTTCCCGGTCAATTATTCAAATTGGAAATCTCTTGTGAAAAGTTTTAATAAATAAATAATGAAAGTGATAAACGTCCATCATAACCATCTATATTGTGAAGGGCAACTTCCCTTATGCTTTTCCTACTATTTGCATCTCGCTTATCCTTCGCGTTAGATAATTTTAATTTTCAAGTATATGTTTCGCATAACTTTCGGCACACCCTGTATAAAGACAGTAGGTAATTTTAGTCCGTGATGTAATACTAAGGATTAAAAGGCGATTGGTGGTGAGGCAAATTGAACAATACCTTCTAATTCCAATCAGAGCGCCATACGGTCGAATCGATATTCAATGTGCCACTAATTAAAAGTAATTTTGTATTCGTAGGTTGGTAGTTCCGGTCGACATCCACCCTGCATGCATACGGTATATATGCAAACTAGGAATCCACGAAATTGATCTCGATCTATGGGTCAAAGGCTGGCGCCAATTCACCAGCACAATTTTAAATCTTTACATGTACTTCAAAGTCCCACCACGTGACCACGTACGGAACGCAGTCTTTTGAAAATTTGGCATTTAAGGCTTTTCAGGTTATGTATCTGTCAAAGTATAGTCAACAAAAGAAATAATATTATGTTTAGGCGTTAAAAATGTATAAATCTTTATAACATTACAATAACAATGGATGGTTTAAGAATTTAAGAATATAAATACTGCATTTAATGAAATTCCAAAGTGTATGGTGCCAAATAAGTAATATTTTTGTGCATTTGGTCCAAATATCTGGTTTTCTCCATAAAATAATTTTAACCAAACAGCATTTATTAAAAAAATCTAGCTTCTCTATTATGGAAGAAGAATATCTGTTTTAAAGGTAGGTTAATATATTATAAAAAATATCATCTTATTTTGTAATTTTAAGGTTAGAAAAATTTATTTTGACCAAAATAAATAAGTATTTTGGATTATTTAAAAGACTGTATAATATGGTATTTAAAAATGTGGTGGTTTTTCTTATCCAGCTTAAAGTGTACCTACATAAAGTTTTGTCAATACAAATAGTTAAAAAGCTTTGACTGAACTTGATCTACATCAAAAAACCATTATAACTTTAAAAATTTTAATAAATCACATGTCATGGGAGTATTAAATATTTTCACATTGCAAGTTTCTCTAAAAATTGTTTGTTTTCTTATAATCTAACTTAAAGTAAGTATGCCGAGAGGTATGCACAAGTTTTGTCGTTAGAAGTATAAAAGCTTCAATTTAATTTGAACTATATTCAACAATTATTTAGTATATCTATATTTATTTATGACCATATTAACACACTCTTCCAAATAATCCACTTATTTATTTTGGCCAAAATAGATTTTTCTAACCTTAAAATACAAAATTAGGTGATATTTTTTGTTCTAATACATTAACCCACCTTTGATACAGATATTCTTATTTCATAATAGAGAAGTTAAATTTTTTTTAATAAATGCTGTTTAGTTAAAACTATTTTATGGAGAAATGTAGACCCAATGCACAAAAATATCACTTATATTGCACCTTACACTTTGGAATTTCATTAAATGAAGTATTTATATTCCTAAATTCTTAAACCAACCATTGTTATTGTGATACTATAAAGATTTATTAACTCATATAAGCGGTAACACTATAAATATTATTTCTTTTATTGACTATACTTTGACAGATACATAACCTGAAAAGCCTTAAATGCCAAATTTTCAAAAGACTGCGTTCCGTACGAGGTCACGTGGTGGGACACAAATTTGAAGACTATTATAATACGTTGGATATTTGATATAACCTTTGTTAATATTTGTTACTGAACAACAGGTAAGTCGTTTGCAGTGGAATAATTAAGGTTATGTTTCTCAATTGAATGTTAATTTCGTTTTATTTTCTGAAAATAATACAATACATATATTTTTTTATGTGTCTAAAGGTCTTAATTAGTATAGTAAATTGTGTTTCCGTGGTTTTCAAGATTGATTTTTTTCTAAAACTAAAGGATCCAAGTTAGCGATCTGGAGATCGGAATCAAGGGGGCTGGAATCACGGCTCGACGCGAAACTTTTGACGTTTTACCGTGGGATTGCGGAGTTTGTCGAACTGATAAGGAAACGAACGTAACGGCATAATGAGACACGAAGGTATTTGGCGAAACGGGGGTGAAGGTGGCAGACGGGAATATTGATCTGCGGAGGCGGGCAGGTAGTCGAAGGTGGCACGCGGCGGTTTTAACTTTGCTTAAATCGCATGCGACCGCCGCACAGGCAGGTATTTTGACCAAAAACTTGGCCAAAAATATTTGCATCAAAAGGGCACAATCCACACAACAAGGTCTGTTCTATCTCGTACTAAAAATACAAAAAATCACTGCAACACTGCACAGAGTTTAACGGCGGTCATTTTTGTTGTTTACAATTTTTGTGCTTTGAGTTTGTGCTCTGTTTATACATATTAATAATCGTTTTAAACGTTGTGTTTCTAAAATGAGGCCTTAAAGGGCTAAGAACAACCATTTTACTCCTCTTTTGTAAAAAATAAACCTTATTCTATCAGGGCTGTCATCCATCTGTCAAATGTCAATTTTAAGGTTAATTTATAACCCACAAATTAACCTTCAAATTGACATTTGACAGCCCTGATAGAATAAGTTATATTTTTTTATAAAAGAGGAGTAAAATGGTTGTCCTTAGCACTTAAAGGCATTATTTGAGGCTTACAAGTGCCTCTGTAAGAAACACAACTTTTAAAACAATTATTAAACAGTACAAACCCAAAGCACAAGAATTTTAAACAACAAAATTGGCCGCCGTTAATGTGATTTTTAGTATTTTTAGCAAGAGATAGAACAGACTTTGTTGTGTGGATTGTGCAAAAGGGTAGCAAATGACTAAAAAACATATTTCTAAAGGTATACAAGTGATAGGGATTTTTACTAGAAATAAAAAAAAATATATGTAGGTATTCAAAAATGTATTTAAGTAAAAGCCTAGAGCTTTGAGGCAATATTACTTAATTTAAGTAAATATTTTGTTAAATTAACCTTAAAAATTTAATTTGAAGTAAAACTTTTTTTTAAGTTATTTAATAAATTTTATTTGTGTTATTTTTACCTATTTTAATAAGTTTAAGTTTAAGTATTATGAGGGACGTAATTTTTACGAAAGAAAATTACTTATAAGTGTATTTCACCTAAAGGAAAATTTAACGGTAATTTTAACTTAATGGTAAATTTTACGATATTAAGACCACTTTATAACCGTAAATAATTCCTATTCGACTGGTATTTTTTAGGGTTATTAGAGGTAATAAATATTGACTGAACAAGGAAATATAAGCTTAAAGTAAAAAATAAAACTTTAAGGGATTTTTTTTTTCAGGTCGCCATAATTACTTATCTCAACATTTATATAATATTTTTTCATAAATATTTTTTTTAAATATAATAAGGAAAGTTTAAGTTATTAAACAATGATTAAAACTAAATGAT